AAGAGGTTAAGTTTTTATAATCTCGATTTGAACGAGTCATCAGACATACATCAGATATACATTATAATAAGATCAAAGAAACAATAATGTTTTATTAAATTCAGAAATTCTTATTAAACAATAGGATTCGCGACATATTTATCTAAATAAAGCTTGAGAGCCGTGATAGCTCAGTGTCCGGGTGCTCGCCTTTAATTCAATATACTCGAGCAACCTGAGTTCGGTCCCGGTGCCAATGAAGTTTTTAACTTTAAGTCCTGACTTATCACGTGCTCCGCGGTGAAGGAAAACATCGTGAGGAAACCTGCATATTTTCGAAATAATAACAAAAAAAATATATTTCGAAGATATGTGAAGTCCGCCAACCCGCAGTGGGGACTATGCCCTGATACCCTCTCTATAGAGGAGGCCTTTGCCCAGCAGTGGGACATGTATAGGCTGTTACTTAAAGCTTAAATAAATATTTACGATAATTTCCATCATCTATACTACTGCATTACACATGCTGCTAATTTTGAAAATAATACTTACTAAACCTTATTTATAACACAACAAGGAGTATTCCTTACACAACACTAAAAATTGTTATAACAATTGGTTGAGGTATGAAAATGAATCGTGTTCACGGAATCAATGCTATTGGCTTTGATTTGCTATTTGAGTGTGACTGGATCTATGTTCAGGATTGACTATTTTTGTACTTACTAAAACATATTATAATTATTCGCAATTTGTGGTGATTTTATCATAAGATACTGTATACATATAGATAGATAGATATCGTATTTATATTAATTAAACTTAAGAAATGAGGATAAATTTTGAATGACATCGATTTGTTTCTTTGTATTATATTTATTTCTTGGGATACTTTTTAGTGTGCAAGCAGGACATACTTGAACTGATACATCTAAGAGCATTGCTTTAAATCACTCGCCGAGACGAATCTAACTATTGGGTATGTATGTTGCGGTCGTAAAGTGTTTTGATGGGATGTGTGGGTCTTACATTCTCGGACATTAATGTCGGGCCATCCCTCGTGTAGCTGTCAAGTCTTTTTTACACTTGACGACCGTAAAACGATCTCTTTGAATGATTCCTGGGAACGTGAATAATTTAGTTCCATATAAGTTGACTTCAAAAGGAGTTATTGTTCGTTTATTTAAACATTTTTTTATCTATATCAAATGGAGCTATTCGTTTTTGCCTTTGATCCGTAGTTTTGTTTTAGTAACAGAACTCATTTCCCACCACAATCTAGCTTTGTGGTTTCCATTAAAATTTATCACTGATTTGATATTTTTTAAGTATCTAATTACTTGAAAAGCTAAATTTTAACATAGAATTTATTACAGCAGTTTCGTGGAGATAACTTACTTATTCAAATAAGCGAGTAGGTAACGAAAAATGTGCTTAAAATGAACTATCTCGATTTATGAGGGTTTACCTAGTATTAAATTATTACATTTTTAAATATGTGTAGATAGTGATGAACACGATTTATTCATTTAAATAAAACTTTAAGTAATAGCATGCATTTCAATCAAAATTCAAAATTTTATTTTTGAAATAAGTAAATAAATAGTTGGTTTCGTACACATTTTTACACAACGTTCTCTAGCCCCAAACTATAAGTATCGCTTTTACTATGAGTACTAGCAAACTGGTAAATATGCTTATACATACTTTGCTTTTGTAAATAAATATATATATTATATATATGAACACTCACACTGGAAACACGTGTTCAACGCATAATATAGTTTTTCGAAATAGTTTTCTTTTTATTATTATTTTGAAAATATGCAGGTTTTTGTGTTTGTGTTTCCTCTCGATGTTTCTTTCACAGTTGAGAACGTCGTAAGTCAGCACTTAACAGGGATTTGAAATGAGATTGCGCGAATATAATAAACTAAAGCGAGCACCCGGACACCGAGCTATCAAGGCACTTGCTTATTAATTTTAGAACAAACAAAACAACCTTCTGACAATTAAAAAGCAGCCCTGTAAATGTGATAAAAAATCCATTTTCGTGACAAAGATTAATGGAGTGCTAACTATGTCTTCATTCTGTTCGAATTTAATTATTTTGGGTCCGCTTTCTCTTAAATAGGATGCATGTTAACCGCAGCGATACAGATGCTAGTGGTTTGGTACAAGTGTTATAGAGATTTTTATCTGGGATTTATGTTGTACTTTATCGTTTTTAAATAAGTTTAACCTCTTTAAAAATTACCACCTGTCATAACCATAAAAATTAATCATAAGTTTCTTATTAAATAAAATAACTACTATTTAAGAGTACCTAACGAGTTTTAAAGTAAACTAAATAAAACTTGTATGTTGATCTTTTTGCCATCATTGTTTATAGTTGCTTTTAAACTCGTTTAAAAATGGTTTATTCCTTCCATATGTAAGATTATCGCACTACCAGTCATAAAAGGCCCCCACATGTTACTTACACCAAAAAGAAGTTTGTATATATTCTTTATAACCTAAAATATAACTCGTATATGTTAGGCACTTCACGATGCCCCGTGACCGACTGCGTGCTAAATCGGAAGTCGTATAACCGTAACATTTTAATGGCAGAATGGAGACAGGTAATATTTTTTTTTTTCGAGGGAAATTTAATGCGAGCCCTTTTAAACTGGATTTCAAGTTAAGGTGATTACAACACGTGAATCAGAACACTATTTTTTTTTTAATTGTACCAAGCGTAAAACTTGGAAGCGCGGGCGGTTGCCACGTGCGCCCTATTACGCCTCTCGTCGGGTATGAAATACGAGGATGGTGCCTATAAATAGAAGGCATCCCCTTAATGACCCGTTGTTTAAGTGACTGCTCTCGAGGATTACACGAGGGTATGTTGAACAGTTGCCCGTTGTAAATATTTTTATCTCGTGGGCTTTTACTATCGGCCAACATATGGGCCAAGAGTGTGTGGCCTGCAACACGCGATGTATGTTTTGGGCAATAAAAAATTAGTGCTGACCGTTTGGATTTTGTTTACTATTAATCGACGTTTCGACCATTAATAAATCTACATGTGTACATATTAATACCAGCTATTGGAGCGGATTTGTTTATTTTTAATAAAATTTATGGATAGTATGGTGCAGTTTAAAATTTTCGTTCAGTGTGAGAAATATTCAGTAATGTAGATAGCAGTGGTATTGATTGTATTTATCATTGTTGTTTAATTTACTATGAGGAAATGAATGGAATGTTATAATAAATTTGCAATAAAATTGTAAATAAAATGAAATCGAAAATTTAAAATAATGTGATCTAATCTCAATCAAATTTTGATACATTTTGCTTGATAACGCTACCACTTGTCTTACATTTCTTCATTAATAAATTACTTCATATAAATTTGCAGCGAAGACTGTTGGACCCACTGATAAACTTTTTTGTGTGTGTTCAAGTGGATTCGAGAATGGTTTAGATTCACAATTCGGTCTACTACAAATTGCTTTTCAATTATTTTTTTTTTTACTTTTATGTTGATGTCGGATTTAAGACATGTTTGCAGGACTGTCAGATCAGTTAGTATTTCTATACAAGTTTAATAAGGTTATTTTAATTTGTGAAAAAAAATCAAAAATACCAATTAGAATACAGGAAAAAGTACAATATATATGATGTATAGCTGATGTTACTCATTTGTTTATCTTTTAAAATATCTTCTCTTTTATCCATGTACTACAATGCTACAATGTTCTATAATCATTATGTGTTATCAATGTGCATAGAAATAGTTTAAAATATTAATTTACGTTACAAGAATATCCTCTTGTTTTTATTTTCTGTTTTAAGCGGTTTTATCTTTAAAGAGATATTTTACAAAGAACACATGCAGACGAGAAACACTTTTATTCGTTAGGTTGCTAAACCAGTCTCAACAACTTTACAAGAGCTCGAAAGCTTCAATTACTTGAAAGCAGGTGTGAGATATGATGTTTGTAAAACTTTTGAAACTCAGCACTCATTAAAGCTTTTAGCACAAGGTTGGCTAAATTAAATTGAACATGTAATTTACTTTAACGTTCTGTAGCTAATGTTTTAAAGTTTCAAATTAATCAGTCAAAATGTCGGTAAGAAATACTTACTCGGGTTAATTGTGTATTTTTTTTTCCTGGTTTTCCTTTGATGCCTCCTTCCGATTGCAACTGCTTCGTTTTCTCACTAAATAATATATTTCTAACGCCCGGGGTTCTGAAACACTGATCATCGTAGAAGTCAAATGGCTTTTCAAATGTTATTTGTTGCCAAAAGGTTGTTTAAACCCTTTGAAGTGATCATTCTGATAATTAGGAAGGTCATTCTTAGATAAATATATAAGTAATTGGAACGCTGAATGTGCCTACGGTAACAAATTCGAATCTTTTCAGTTGTAAAGGTTTTTACCGAATTACGTTTTTGGATGAAGCGCGAAGATAAATCGTATGAAGTCGACTTGGCCGGTCTATTTAAAGATAACGAATTAAATGATAAGTAAATTGAAGATACTGTCATTTGCAGAATATAAATTTAAAATTCTAACTAGTACTGAAATAGACGATAGTAGATGAACCTGTGTCTTGTACCACAGGGTGTGGGTTTGATCCCAACTAGTGGAAAAATACTGTGTGCACATAATTTTACAACACGTTTATTTATAGAAAACAGTAAATTTAAGTATGTTTATCACTTATCAAGTAACCATAGTACAGGATTCATTCAGTTTTGGGAATGCAATTCTTACGGATTATGCCCTCCTTGTTTTTGCAGATACTAGATGTTTCCAATAGTGTAAGTTTGACCGTATTCCTACTAGATTTTTTAACATACCAATTATTTATTCAAAGTTTTCATTAAGTTATATTTTAACACTATAAAACGCGAGCTAATTTTATACTTATTTCGTTTAATGCTTGATGAACTTTCTTATAAAGATCCGAAGTTGCGGTTAAAATCTATAGCAATTTCTAAACTACTCGTAGCGCTGTCACAAAATGTGTTGTAACGCATTGAAAACTCCCGCAGAGCTGTTGCTGGGTACGTTGAGGACGCATCAAAAGGCCGCGTGCGATGAGGACACGGTGACGCTCATCTGCCCCCGAGGGACCACGATAAGCATCCAGGTCGCCCAGTACGGGGCTTCGGCGTCGCAGACCTCGTGCTCCCCAGAACTGGCGGAGTACCAACCGGTCGCCGTGGAGGTCGTCGGCGATACGTCGTGCACTTGGCCCAGTGCTTTACAGGTACACTTTAACGGGTACATTGCACTGACACTATGTAACGGCGCACATCCCCATCGCTTGATATGATTACGTACAAACTAGCTGTGAAACGCGGCTTCGCCCGCGCGGTCTAAGTGAATTAACAATGAGTTTTTTATTATACACCAGAATAGCTCGCAGATGACAGAGATTTTTCCTACTTACTTGACATTTACCGTAATATTTTGGACAATTCACATAATATCTTTATTAATTATAGCCTATATGTTATTCTGATGTATTAGCTATATCATTATAAAGTTTAATTCAAATCGATTCTGTACTTTTTGCGCGAAAGAGTAACAAACATCCATCCATACATACAAACTTTTGCATTTATAATATTAGTAAGGATAGTAAGGAAATAAGGTAACACTGTTGAACATGGATGTGTTTAAGATTACATGAATTATTATATATACTGACTTTTTAGTATTAATTCTTTTTCTGGGCGCGAAATCAGAAGACGCAGGTTCGAATCCCGCGGTGCTTAAAGTTTTTGTTCATTTATCTACAAAAATTTACAATTTAAAATATGAAATATTGTTTAGTAACAATTTTCGAAACCATGCATTGGAATCGACGCAATTATAAAGATTAGGTAATCAACTTTTTTACTACAATTGTTTTCATTTCGCATTCTTTGTAACTAAGCTGTTACCTTTTTATTATCGACTCGTGGATATTATAGAAGAATATAATAATTCTATACAGGTATTGGTACGTTGATAATACAAAGAAGAATTTAATGCGAACACAGCGACGTGAATGGATTGTTACTCTAGGTCTGCGCGGTTCTATTGATTATATTTATTTTTAGTTATTACTTTAAATGAATAAAATATACGGCTATCTGCAGTTTGAAATAAATTAAAATCTCTTTTGTTTCCGTGAAGTGATTTGGTTTTGAAATGATTCGGAAATAAATTAATTTCCTGATTTCTTTTCGTTTATTTTGGTGTGTTGTTTTAAATAATATATTTCACAGAATACTTTTATACCATTTTACCCCGAATTGTTTATCTTTAAATTGAAATGGAATAGGCATACTAACTAAAATGTTTTAGTATTCACTTTTGCAGACCGTTGTGGAGGCATGTCAAAAGAAACGTCAGTGCAAATTTCATACAAGCCCAAAAGCCTTTGGAGTCGATCCGTGCCCTGGTTCTAGAAGGTTCGTCGAAGTCGCTTATAAATGCCGTCCATGTAAGTATTCCTTGGAAAATAATATGAAATTTTTTGACTAAAGATATGAAGGTACTGCAATAAAAAATTGGTGATGCTATTTTTAGGTCCCTATCTGTTGTCACATCACTACGTCATCAAAAATTCTGGAGAATTTAAGTGCTTATTTGATCAAAGATGGCAAAGTTAATGATTATATAGTTTGGCTTGTAATATTAACGGATCCTAATATAACAGACTTTTTATCAACAGATGAATTTCGAAGTAAAGTGGGCTGTGAAAACGACGTCCTCCATTTAAGCTGCAACCCTCATTCAAGGGTCGCCATATATTCGGCACAGTATGGTAGAACTGAGTACGATTCTATACAGTGTCCACAGCCAAGAGGAATGAAAGAAGAAAGTGAGTGTTTGGCTTATAATTTTAATGTAGTAGATCTTTACATGAAATCTTTTATACTGTTTTAGATGGCAACTACACCGTAAAAAAATTAAATTATTTTATTCATAAATTAAACTGAAATGAGAAAAATTATAAATTAAATTGAAATGTTAGTGATATTCCGAACAGCCTATACGTACTTAAAATTTAAATAAATCCATTCAATGGCAGATTACATTAACTATTACTAAAAATATGTTTTTTTAATATGTAGGTAACTAAACTGTTTCATAAATTAAGCCATAACCAAAATATATATACGCTTTATTTTTTTTATACCTAAGCTGTATACAGATATTGTCGGGTTTCGTTAAATCGTTTTGAATTAATCAAACGTTTGTACGAAATTTTGTTATTAGTCTTACCATTTTGGTAAACGGCCTGTTTCAATCGCTACAATATTCGTATTCACGTGACTTGCTAAGCACGTAAATAACACTTTATTTTTATTAGCCTGCCTAGAGCCATACGCAACTGAAACGTCGATGCGGGAGTGTCACGGTAAGAGGCGCTGCGTTTTGGCGGCGGATAGTAAAATGTTTGGGAAGCCCTGTCGTGTTGGCAGCCGAACATACCTGAAAGTGGTATATACATGTGGTAAGTGGTCATAAACATATTATTATTTAATTTTATTGTGCTACGTTGTCAAGCGTTCGGGTGGTTCACCGGATGTTATCTTGTATCTTGTATTAACTGATGTTTTTGCTTTCAGTCCCGAGACTATTAAAGCTTCATCGGACGCAGAACCGGTGGGCTAGGCAGAACCCACGGGTTTGGACCCTCCGCTATGGGTAGGGTCGCGCATGTGCTCATGCGTGCGTTTAACTACTGTGGTGTGTCATCTAAGGGCCGTCGAGGTCGCCGGTTCGGACCGAGACCCCGACGGCCGTCGACTGTGCATTTAGCTAATCGGTGGCTGGGAGCGGTGAGAACCGCCCCGGAACGCGGGTGTACCTTGTGTACGCGTTGTGTGGGTCTCGCCGTGCTCGGAGGAGAGGGCGAACTGGTGTGATTGTTGTTACACTAACTGTGGGTGTAGTGTTATCCGGCGGGACCCCCGGCGGTGGGTCCATCGTGTCTAAGTCCTTCCGGATGTTATGTGATTACCACAGCCCATGAACATAATTATATTAAATTGGGTTGTAGATGCGTTGCCAACCAACAAAAAAAAAGAGGGGGGCGGGGCAAAGATTACCTCTTTCACCAGACGAAACGTGTAAGTTTACTTCCACTTCACGCCAATCTTCTGTTAGGCCGTGGTATTTACCGGATGAACCTGCCCATTCGTTCAAAAGCAAAATCTGCTGTATTGCCCTAACCAAATTCATATTATATTTGTATTAACCACTAAATACAAATAAAAAAAAATTATTTCTATTTAACTGTTCGTTTATATTCTTGTGTCATACGGCATATTGATTTTCTCACAAAAATGTTCTTGTTATCATTTGTTCCTTTTTAATAAGTAGTAGTAAAGTAACAGGCTATATAAGTCTCAGGTATAGGTCAAACGCGGGGTCTGTGCACAGAGGGTACCACGAGACGCCATTGCAAATTGGCAGACTTCACATATTTTTTGGCTATTGACGATTTCGGATTTAAACTCAGGAGCAACCTGAGTATATTGTATCAAAAGCGAGCGCCCGAACACTGAACTATTTGGCTCAATTCCCTTTACTTCGTGAAAAACTATTCTTTTCTACTTAAATAACATTAATAAGGGGCACATTTTTTTGAATAAAAGAGTGAATTTTTTTGTAAAAGTACGCTCCATTTCGAACTTTATTTATTTCAAATAGTTTATACCCAATCCGGAGACATGAAACATCGAGTTATCCCAGTCCGAGCTAGCGTCCGTAATAAAGATGAAATATAAAATGCGGGGCGACTAAGGGACCGACCCAACTCCTATGTTAACCGTAATTTAAAGATAAGCAAGAGATGCGATACGATGATATTACATTAAAATATTCTGTAACTTTAAAAGGCACATACAAAAGGAATTTGAGTTATGTATTCACAGCGGCAGCAACTACTACTTCAATTTTTGTTTTATTAAAATCTAGTAGGACTCTTAATAAATAAATTTAGTAACATTTTACACTAGATAGAAAAAGTGCTCAAAGCGTTAAAGATTTATTTTAAATGTAAATTAACTTGCGCTCTTTTTTTTTTTTACAAAGAGTTTAAGTTTGAGTGATATTTCAGTTCCACGCACTGTCCTTAAGGAGCGATACGAAAGTGCTCCAGAAGAAGATGAAGTCGCTTACGACGTTTCAGACACAGAAAACGATGATGTCGGTGAGTTATTTCCTGTTCTTTTCAGTATCATTACTTTAATGAATCACACACAAATGTTTAGATGTATCATCATAGTCATAAGTGTGCTAAAGTTTGTGAGGAAACCGTTACAAAGTGTTGGCAATTGTAACAGATCATCCATCCATCCATCCATCCATACTAATATTATAATTGCGAAAGTAACTCTGTCTGTTTGTCTGTCTGTCTCGCTTTGACTTGAAAACTGCTAAACCGATTTAAAATACATTTAGTACACAGATAGTCCAGAGCCCGAGAAAGAACATAGGCTATTTTCTAATTGGAAAAAAGTGTTGTAATAGGTTGAAAGATTTATTTAAGGGCTTCCACGCGAGCGAAGCTGCAGACGAAAATCTAGTAACAAATAAGATCATTTGTTCCGCATTTGTAAATAGATTATCTGTCAATTTAAACTATTTTTTAACACAATGGAAACACTGTAGGAGGGATTATTAGCTACATTCGTTCATAAATCTGTGTCAGCCGAAGCAGAGTGCTGAGTAAAGTTGACTGCGCATGACCCAATTTGCATTCCACTTGGTGATGTATTATAGTGTGTGCAGTTTGCCGTGCAATGATTTTCAACAATGAAACACCATACAAGTTTATTTGGATAGTATTTTATTTTGATATTATTATCTATATTTATTAAATACTAATTATCGAAAAAATGATTACACATTACTTCTACGGTACTAACAAAAAGGTAGCACGAAAGAAATATCTTATTCATAAAGTTTATTCAGATTTTACCAGTTTTTCTCCAGTTTTGTTATGGAAATTAAATTAAGTTACCCTTTTTTAAGAATGAAATATAAAGAATAACAGACGTTTTATTGCATAGTGCGAATAATTCATTCAACCACGTCAAATATGAATTACAACGAGTAAAAAGTGACAAAAAATATTGAAATTAAATATGTAGATGAATCGAGTGATCGCTGGTGGGGGGAGCCTGCAGTGCCTCCTGCACCTGCAGTCGCCGCAGTTCCCTCTCAAAAGCCTTCGCTATCCTCCAGCAGCAACGCAACAAAAAACAATCAGCACGAATCATCACCGTCGTCACCGCGACATCATTTGTCAAATGACGGTAAGTTTTTTAGGCTTCCGTAACCGTAGCGTAAAACGGCTATTACTAAGACTCCACTGTCCGTCTATCTCCAGGCTGTATCTCATGAACTGTGATAGTTAGACAGTTGAAATTTTCACAAATGTACTTCTGATGCCGCTATAGCAACAAATACTAAAAACAGAATAAGAGAAATCAAAATAGGGATCCCATACAACAGACATGATTTTTTGCCGGACATGATTTTAATGTTACGGAACCCCCGTCCGCGAGTCCAACACGCATTCTGCCGGTTTTTTTATAAGAATTCGTTCATGTTCCATTTTATTAAGTTATATAAAAAGGGACTGGCTGCGGAGCTCTGAGGTACTGTGAGGTCTTATGTGGCTGAAAGTTCTATGAAAAGGTATTTGTAAAGGCAAGCTTTAACTAAATTAAAATTGTAAGTACAGTTTATAGTGTTTTACCTATATTTTTTATTTTGTTTCGATACCAGTTTATATAATTGGTATAGAACGCTCGCCTTATTGGATTGTACAGAATGCCTCCTCGTAGACTATCAGGACAAATTACACCAAAAATGGTGGGCTGTAAATCTAGAAGATTGTATGCCATCATTTCTATAGGAAAGGCTTTTATAAAAACTGTTAAATACTCATGTTTTACTTAATGTCTAGAAAACCTTTCAAAGAGAACAAGCATTATGAGAAAGCTTTCAGATGAAGCTTTACTTTCTGTGACCAATTGTAACAGTGATAAAAAGAAAAAGAGTTGTATTAATATTAATTATTCACAAGAAAATGAGTAAACGATTTATTCCGTAAAACTATGGAATCGACTTCATGACAGTGTTATTCCACTAATATTTTTTCACACAGCTTTCATTTACTTTCATGTTGAACTATAACTTTACATACTTCTCCTGCAGATCAGTTCGACATCATCTATATCTACATCATTGCTGCTGTTGCCGTGACCACTTTAGTTTTCATCATAATAGCCACAACGCGTTGTGTGTTAAGCAAACGAAGCACAGAACAGCCGAAGGGTCCGGACGTATCCGCTACGACAGACATTCCAAATGGCTTCAATGACAGCATATCGGAAGTAGACAATGACATTAACATAACAAGCCTATCGGGTCCCGTAGAAAATGTTGAATCGGGAATGAAGCAAGAAATGCACCTCGCTAACATGACTCTCAGCCCAAAGATTAACAGATACGTCGGACGTCCAGTCCCTAATACGTACCCGCACGTAAGTAGCAACATATATGGACAAGTTGCCGAATATCCTATTGAAATGCCACTTCGTAATGTGCCGCACGGAACCTTAGGTCGTGGTGTGGCAGTCAAGACATTGCCACGCGTTCAAATACAAACTGATTCTGACCCACACACAAGAAGTTTGTATCGTTATTCAAATGCACAATATTACTTTGGGTGACATCAAGATATAAGCCAGTGTGGGGACATAACGAGAACTTACTGTTTCTAGTTAAATTGTGTAGTGAAAGACAAAATACTGTAATGTCCTAATTATAATACAGAAACTGTGATATTAATTGGAACTATCCTATTATAGTAGAATCTATTTAAACATTTTGTTTGTTTTTGCTCCTTTTAAATAAGTGTATTTAAGAGACATCACATCTGTTGTTTGCTATATTTTTAATTTATTTTAAACGTTTATGTTCATTTATATATATAACACTTATAAAAACTTTGTATATAATTGGAAATCTCACCTTTGAAAAGTAATAAGCAACCAAATCTCATCCATGATTTACATAAATAGTTGGCCAAACATTATTACTATCATACGAATTAAAATTAAATAATTATGTTAAAGAGACTTTGAAAAAACTGTTGTAACGAATATTATTTAATCATTTAGGTATAGATGAAGAACTCATTGTTCAATTTTTTTATTATTTGCTTCAGAGTAACCACGAGATTCATAAAGTGATAAATATCCGGATTTGAATTAAAAAAAAACATGAAAGCAAGATCCAAAAACATCGTCACACAAAGCATTAATAATTTAATAAAAATTGTTAAACATTTTTGTTTTATATAAAATCTTGTGTAACTCATCAAAATTTTAAACAAAAAGTAAGATTCGTTAACATAGTTTTCTCAATGATACGTATGTTCTTAAATATTGAAGTGTCCAAAGGGAAAAGTGTATAACATTTAGAATACTAAAACAGCAGGGGCTCAAATTAACAGTGTACCATTTTTTTTTTCAAAAACATCCTTTTGAAAATAAAATATAAGCTAAAAGCAATTTCATGGACGAATTACCACAAAATTGTAACTTTTATATATTAAAAGTAAATAAGTAAATTTAAATTTATATAATGACCATAAGTTTTAATTGCCCAATATTAAATAAATATGTTCAAACCGAACTGGAAAAAATAATGTTAATAATACTAATCTATGTTTCAACATATCGCGACTAAGAAAAATGTATTAAACTACGTTGCCATATGATACCGAAATAATACTATTTTATTTTATTTAAGTAGTTTCCAAAAATATTCTCTACGCATATAAAACTTAATATAAATATGTAGTTATTTAAGTAACTTAAAATCTCATATTATAAATTGTATTTTTTTTACTTAATGTCATTCATTTGGAAGCAATTTATTGAAACTTTGTTTCTATTCTTTATCAGCATGTTTTTGTATAATTTTATGTAATCTGGAACAAATACATTTTTTCATAAATATCAAATAAATTTAATCAAGACGCCTCTATATTTTATTTATTCATTTGCCAGTAACATCCAATTAAACTTTATATGTCAAATTTGAACATAAAAAATACCTACAGTTTTCATAAAATAACTGCATAAGTAAAAAAAGTAATCCATCTTATTAACAACCAAACATATAATTTAGAATAGATGACTCTGTGCCGCAGTTGCTAAGACATTGGCTTCAGCGCCAGGGCCGTGAGTTCGATTTCCACAAATTCAAGTATTTGTGCGAACCACAGATAATTATTACGTGTTCACTCCCAAGGAGAATGAGCCTAGACAACAAGATTAACACCATGATTTACATATTGCGCCGACCCCGCTTGGTGAAATAGGGTCCTGCGTTATTGCAAGAAGAAGAAGAGCGTATAGAGTACAAGATGACCCGGCCACGCTTTGTTGTGAATCAATTTATCATATATTAATCTAATATCATCCTTAATAGGGAATGCAATCCAGCAAAGTGGGATTCCGCAATCCCCCGGTGGATCCAGCATAATTTTAGGTACTACGGAATCCCGCAACAGCAAGCATAAAATCACGCACATTCATTCAAATTTACCGCCTTGAATTTACTTCGCAGCGCTTCGTGTGACGTAAGTTGACCTGTTAATACATGCATAATCCGCTCCATGCTGACCGCCACTCGTCGCGCTATACAGTTTAGTTGCCATTTGACTCGCTAGGGTGGCACTTCCCCTAACAACAAACGTTTGATTTTGTTTTGAAGTCAATCAACAACCTAGAGTAAGTATAATGCTTATGAACTTGTCCTCGTTTTATAAGAAGGCTACATATGTAGTTCCAAATCAAAATTACCAAATATTGATATTTGCAATTGTTTTTGAACGTTTTATTAATAAACAGTAAAATAATTAGTCAATTAGAGGTAAAGATATTGTTGACTGATGTAATTTTTAATGAATATGTGATCATACATAACACATAATACTTATTTAAACTCCAAATAAAAGCTATAATTTTTGCGGGATCCCGCTGGATTGAAGTTTGAACTGTGCTGGATTGCAATCCCTAATCCTTAACGATTCATCGTCAGCCGTAAGACGTCCACTTTTGAACATAAACCTCCCCCTTAGAACGACACAATGAATGGCGCTTTGCCATTTGCATCCACCGATTGGCCGCGACTCTTACGATGTCGTCGGTCCACCTACAGGGAGGCCCTCCAACTATTCAATACCGACATAAATACATAAATATTTTCAGAAATCGCGGGCCCACTGCGGATTGGCGAACTTCACATATCTTTGAAATTGTTTATTTCGAAAACATTCAGGTTTCATCGCTGAGCACGTGATCAGCGCTTAAAATGAACAATTTCATTGATGTCGGCACCGGGATCGAACTCAGGTTGCTCGAGTATATTAAACTAGCTTTTCGCCCTTAAACAAATATCTTTCTTAAAAAAATCCAATTAAAAAAATTATGTCCCTTTCATCGGTTCAGTACTTTTGGCGTGAAAGCGAGACAGACAGACAGAGTTACTTTCGCATTTATAATATTAATATGGATTAAAGGCGAGCGCCATAACTGAGCACTGAGCCATAACTGCTCTGCTTTTTATAAATTTTATTTTATTATTTTAAATTAATTAAGCACTAACCAAAGAGTTAACAAGTCTAGTAATACTTAGATATTTTAATTCACTGGTGAAAAATGATAATTTAAAGAAAGAAATAATTAATGGGTTTACACAATCTTTTATGAATATTTTTTTAGTAGAATAAAAGCACAAAATAGTATTATAATTGTAATGTAATGAATAATACACCAATAAATATGAAAGGCAAGTTTATGTCGTATGTGAATTTAAAAAAATATTTTTATATTAATATGGATATGCCAATTTGCCGTGGCCACTATAATTTTAATCGGAATGTCATAATTAAAAAGGTTCCTATTTAAGGTTCCGTACCAAAAAGTTAAAGTAAATGTCTGTCCGTCTGTCAACAGACTGTATCTCATGAACCGTGATAGTTATAATAGACAGGTAAATTTTTCACAGATAATGTATTTCTGTTGCTATAACAAAAAAAAATATATAATGGTACGGAACCGTTGAAGCGCGAGTCCGACTCGCACTTAGCCGGTTTTTAAAATACTTCGTCTTTTGCTCTGCCGATACGCTATAGGTCACGGTAAGAGTTGTGACTTGAGTAACTAACCGTCTTCACTTCTCTCTGACAATTGCTTTGTACCGGTCGTCTGTCTATCTCAGTTCTCGATAGATAAGTTTCACACGGACCAATAACCAAATCCGAAACAAGCAAAATCTGTACATCACTAAGTAATTGACTCGCAAAGTTATTGAAACCACGCGGCCTGTGATGCCATAACTTGGTAACATCTGCACAGACAGACATCAAATAATGTAGTATGTTGATAAAAGCCATACTAACTACTACAACTATAAATCATCTCATTTATGATGCAAAATTTGTCGACTTTACTTTTAAAATGTAAACCTTTCCATGATTTGCCTTCGCAATGGAATGCGTTTGTCAAGGATCGCGTCGCTAAGACGCATGTCAACGATTTAGAGAAATTGTCACAATCCCTTTAGGAATTCTGTCCAATTTATTCAAAGGCTTGATGTTTTTGTGTGAAAATGCCTTCCAAAATGACAGTGTTAAAAGAAATTGCGTGGCATCTAAGAATTCTTATGGAAAATTTAATAATAATTGACAAACGGAAATATATGTACATACATAAATATATTTGAGCTAGTGTATATGTATATACGGTATACATAAATGAAGGAAAAATTAATGTTTGGACTTGGATTAATGAATGATCATGATCTAAAGAAATTGATAACTTTTATGTAATCGTGCAGTTCATTCTGTTCTGTTATTTACATTGTACATAAAATTTCAGAAATAGTAAAATTTGTAGAACATTACTGAGCGGGGAAGATTTTGATAGTACTGACTATTCAAATTTATAATCTGCTGAAATGATACGCGTGCGGAATTTTGAGTGGGACGTTAAGTTTTATCTGTATTAGGGATATTCACATACCCGCAAACATTTTCATTCGGAGTCGGGTCTTCGACCCCTTTTTGTTTACGTAACAATTTTAGAACTAAACGACTACTCATAAGTACAACTGATGTGTTTCACAAACATTTAGTGGCTAGTAAAATATTTTCTCATCAAGCCGCAAGTTGTTAATTTATTCGCAACAAATAATTATTGCAAGGTTGATAAAAACTTATTTTCAACATAACTGTTTACGTACATATGTTTTTATTTACGTAGGTTTTTATTTTAAGAAACTTACTTGGACAAGCGAATTTTAAATATTTTCATTTTAGCCTCTTGTAGATTTTATTGTGCTTTATTTCCGTTGAATATCTGTGACCATAATTAGATATTATTATGTAGTAAATGGCATTAATAAACAACGTCCACCGCGTCAAATACGTAACTACTTTTTTCTTTTATCTTTGCATAAATCCTTGAATAGTTTGGCTTGAAGTATTATCATTGTTTTGCATAAAAGTTTAAAAAATAATTAACATTCTAAAATCTTCACATATAAAAAGTTACATGCATAGATCAACTTTTTATATTTAAGCATAATTTTGAAATTAGTAATAGATAAACGAATGCACAGTCAGACCTTAGGACAGAGATACACGTAAAAGCAGTTGGAGTAAAGATATCCTGCAATTGGCCGTTAAAATTTTAGTTGCGCGTAGCTAGCGTAAAGTATATTAGTACCTATGTTGTTTTAGGTTTTGGTTTTCCTCTAGTCAGTCATTTACATATTATAAAGGACAATGACGTAAATTTGGATGAGTTATGGGATAAGGTCCCTAAAACAGTTTCATGTAAACATACAAATGTATTTTTTTTTAAAAACGCTTAGTGAAATTATTTTATCAGTAAAATTATCACGTGCACGGCGGTCGAAAGAAAACATCGTGAGGAAACCTGCATATTTTCGAAGTAATAAAAAAAAAAATATTTCGAAGATATGTGAAGTCTACCAATCCGCAATGGGTGGACAGTACAGTGTATAGAGGAGGTCTTTGCCCAGCAGTGTGACATGTACAGGCTGTTACTCTACTCTTAGTGAAATTATATCTCTACTTTATTTATCATCTAAGGAAATAAACTACTGGATTCGTCTTCGTCACACAAATCACTGGACTGAATCATCAAGAAAAGATTAAACTGTAAATCGTTTGCTTTATTTATTACGGGTTGTAAAAAAGTGGACAAATCATTATTTAATGAGATAAATAAAAAAAACGGTAAAATTTCAGCAGCCCACTACTTTTATATAGCAAACAAAAGAAAAATTTAAACGACAGATAACTATAGAGACATATCACTAACTAAGTAATCAATAAAAAAAAATTGATAGTCACCTATAGTTTTCGAGAAAAAAACGCAATTAAATCTTGTTATTTTCACTGAGAAAATCCGCCATTTTACTATTGTCAACATTTTCTCATTTAAAAACCTTCCGTAAAACACAGTCTTGTCCACACTTAAAACATTCAAATTTCTTTACAAGAATTCATGATAACAAAAAAAATTTAAAAGCAATGAACGATTTGATACTGATTGGAATAAATTTTTATTAAAAAAATAAGACTAATACAATAATGTAGGTATATACATATTTGATTAATATAAAATGAGCGGGAAATACTTTTGGTTATAAATTTGACATACAATTAGGCATCAAAAATAATGATACAGCCAATATGCTAATATCGATTTCAAAACTCGATTACAAATTTTATAAAATGTTTTTGTTAAAAGCCCTTAATGTTACCATGGTGTATTTTTTTTTTACTTACGTAACTCAAGCTGATGGTTTTATATGTGATTTTTATAAATCTATGATAATAATGAACTAAGTTACATTCCAAATGAGTCACAGATCCGACACAGAGCACCCCGACTCCATGTGGTCTTGTGGTCCCTAACCCTAGAGTGAACATAAAAAGGCGGAGCCAGAACCTCGCGTCGGAGGTCCTGAGTGGCGCAAGCCCGCGAGGCCAAGTGGAGCGAAGGCCGAGTGGGTGAAGCGACACTCAGGTGTGACATAGCGAGTGTTTTGGCGAAGCACGTGGGAGAGTCAAACTTTACAATGAAGTAATAAATTTTGAATATTTCATATATTTTTTACATAAAAAATTAAAGATGTAGATTTTAAAAGCTTTGTAATTTCAATAAATGAAAATCAAAAATATAAGAAATATAAAAAATATGACTTCATTATTAAGTTTGACTCTCCCACGTGCTTCGCCAGAACACTCGCTATGTCGCCCCTGAGTGTCGCCACGACCTCCGACGCGAGGTTCTGGCTCCGCCTTTTTATGTTCACTCTAGGGGTAGGGACCACAAGACCACATGGAGTCGGGTTGCAGAGATAAATTATTTATTTAGTTTAAAATTTGAATTAAACATCTAAAATTTTGTAATTTATTTAATAATCGATATAAAATCATAATA